CATTCCACGCAGTGAAGGGCCGGGATTTTCCTCTACATCACCACTCAGCAGCAACCTGGTGCGGGTGATACTGCTGATAGCACGTCGACACGTGCCCCAGGACCTTCTTGGATATATTTCTGCCCCAGCACGACACGGCTGGTCCCGGTGCTGTCTAACGCCGTAGCCTAAGGGCCAACGGGTCTTCCAGAAGAAAAACGTCGCTGGCTCTTGGCTTCCTCCGACAATACGAAGTACTGGACCTTGGCACCACGTTGAGGTGGCCGGCATAGCCAAGGAGTGTGCCTTGTAGAAGGGCATGGAATGGAATGCTCCAAGTGTCAGATTAGTGTTGTACATGCCAGTAGGTTCTTCCGTGTACGGACTCATCAATTCATCCTTCGCAATCCTTCGTTCCCAGTGGAACTTGCTGGGACCATTACCCTCTTCCTCCATGTACATGCCGGTAACGAGTTCCACCTCACAGTTGTAATGTTTTCTCATCTTCCTCTGTATTATTTTAGAATACACAGCCATCTTGTTTGCTCTCATTGCTCCGTATTTAATCAATCCGAAATCTTTCATACGGTTCACCAGTAAACCAAGTCCATGTGCAATCTCATGCGCTGCTGTGCGGACAAACTGCCTCGTATCCAGAATGTCTTTCGGTACAAAATGGATCAGTGCAGAAGTTGGTCGTTTGTCCAATTCCTGAGAACATACTTTTGTTGGCGTTTGAGATGCGCCAAGGCTCACAAAAAGCACAAAATCAGCATTGGGGAAACCATTTGTTTTGTGATCACTGGCAACTGTGACCTTACATTCTGTCGAAAATGACCTTAAGGTGCTTGCAGAGACCACAACCTTACCCTCTTTCCGTTCAATGCCGAGACGATCTGTATGCAACTGGATCGCATCGGGTAAGAGTTTGTTCAGTAAGAGGTCCTTCTTTGCATCTGTTATCCCAGTCTCATCATCGCACAACGCCTTATCCTCATCAGTCCTGAGAAACGACCTCCCAGTCCTTTCGGTCCAGGCTCGCTTTCTGTCACAGCTCCTCAACACTTTATCCACGTCCTCTGCGGATATTTCGATGTAAATGGGCTTCCAGCTTCTCCCACTCTTCTCACGGTTGGCGACAGTGTACGCATGAAAAGCACTCTCTCCTTTCTGCGGTAAGCGCAGAGTACAATAAGTGACGCATGATAGAGCCTTCGGTTCTTTTTTTTTCGGTGTTTATATATATATGAGTATGTATGTGTGTTTGTGTATGTGTATACTTTGTTGAAGTGGACGCAAACACAAAGATAGAATACGCTTCCTGATTTGATCAAGCTTAAAAGAAGAAAAAAAAAAGAAAAGATCAATGAGAAAGTATTACATGATATTTATATTAATTACATGCGACAAATCCATGAATCATAAGAAAGAAAAAACATTGATAATCATACTCTCTATTCAACAGAGTAAATCACGCGGCAGGATTTACGAATTGGTGGATTCCAAGATCCTTTCCTCGCCACACGCCCTCCATGTGAAGAAACTAGATACTGGGTGAGTGAAAGGGCAAAAAAAAAAACCCAGATTTTTTCTACGTGCTCAGCCAGTTTGACTTTTCCGCCAAAACCCCCTACAACGAACAAATGGAGAAAAAAACATGGAACAACATGCACACACACACACAAACCTATCGGAGAAAAAAAAAAAACATTGGCGGGTGCATGTTCTTTTCACAAGTCTCTAGATGAAAAAAGAATAAGAAACAGACGCGCGTTAAGTACAGATATTCAAATGACCCCTTTTTACCACCACAATTCCTTGGTAAGGATGTGCTATCTTATCGTGGTACCAAGGTTAAGTACTTGAATTTATTCAAGGAAACTAAATGCACTCAATAAATTTTTGCAGGAGGTGGTCTCCTTAAAAACCAAATTCTTTTTATTTTTCTTTTCAATACATGCTTTCTTAGAAATGGCATTCCCTTGGTGGCGTTTGGCCATCGAAAGTTGGAGCAAGTGTCCATTACCTCGTACTCTGCGGGGGAAGCCATGGGTCAGTAAACTCTCTGGTGCGGAGTTTTACTGGTTTCATAAGCTAAAAACGTCATACAGAACCGGGGCCAGCAGAGTCTTGCTGGGACAAAACTTAATCCAAGAAGGTCCTGGGACGCGTGCCGGCGTGCCATCAGCAGCAGTTTCTTTTACATGATTCACCTTAGTGTGAATGCTACTAAAAAAAAGGGAGAGACAGGGATCCTAGAGAGAGTAACAATTATGCCCTCCAGTGGTGGAAATTGGATTAGCCGCTGAGGCGACTCAGAGAGGCGAGAAGAATCCATGCTCCGCCACCTACGAGATCCATTGTAATCTCATTGCCAATGCGTAACACCTCTGCGCAACGGTAATAAAATACAATAAAAAACAAAACAAAACAAAACAAAAAATAAAAAAATAAAAAGAAAAAAGAAAAAAATATATATTATATACGTATATCATTATATATATATATATATATATATATGTATTGCTGTTGATGGCTCAAGCCATTTGGGGTAAAACCCATAAAGACACGAAGAACAAAAAAAAAAAAAAACACCACAATCGCAAACGCAGCGAGCGAGGCAAGAACATATGGAGAACAGAGTCTTTACAGGTAAAGCCGGGGTCGGTAGATATAGAAGGCGCCATGGCGGTGAAAGAGTCAGAATTAGACGCTTTTACGCCAGTGCGGCGGGGTTCGATGGAATTTCCCCTTTTCACGCGGCCGCAACTGAAGACACACCCTACCCCACACCACGCCCACCGGGAGCACAACCGCGGCGACAAGCGCAATCGGCCCCCCTGAGGAAATGCCGGCGGACGCCGCGAGGCCGGGGAAAAAAAGAGTGGTTGATTTTCTGGGGTGCGGTGCTTCCATCGGGACCCCGGCCGCCGGCGCCCTGGAACGACGAAAGAAGGTATCGAATCCACCCGAAAAGGCGGGCGGAGCGGCCATCAGTATCATTATCATGTTTTTTTTTTTTTTTCGTACCCATTTGTCTTTGCCTTTGGACCGCGTTAGGTAGTTAGAAAATGGGTATGTTTTTTTCTTTTTTTATTTTTTATTATTATGTTGCGTTGGTGGTTGTTGCGGGGGGTTGGGTAGTGGCATTTTTCCCGTTTCTTCTTTCATTTGACATTTTTCTCTCTTTTATTATACTTTTTACTTTAGGTGGGTTTTGGTGAAAAATGTTTGCTCTACGCAATGTTCTCTCGGATTTGCCTTCAGATGGAGCCACCAAGCGAATAAAGGTAGGAAATGTTGTCTCTCCAATGTCGAGTGCTGATGTAGCCAATTTGTTTCCAGATGCATTGAGCTGGAGGTTTGTATCACCGATAAAAAGAACAGACTATGTAGTTTTATTTGAGAATGAATCACTTGCAAGGATCGCGATGAGAACAGTGGAGGGTTTGTCATATTTGGGTGAGAAACTGAGGTTCACTTACTTGCAAGATGATGAGGAATGTGAGAGTTCTCTCTCAAGTCGAATGACATGTTCCTATCCTCACCTTTGTTTTTTGCTTCCTGAGGTTTCGTACCAAAGTCGTTGCGTAGAGGCTGAACGAATCATTTCTTCTGTTGGCACAACATACTCCTCTCATTCACGCTGGGTAGATGTGCGCTAACGAACGTAAGACGTGGTAAGACACTTATTTCTCTTCAAGTGATCTAACTCCATTTGTTACTCTTTTTTTTTTTTGTATGAGTTGATAAACTTTTTCTGAATTATTTTATTTTTTCTATCTAAATATATATATATATATATATATATATATATTGTATTACTATTCTTGCCGTTTATTATTATTATTATTTACTTTATTATTATTATTATTATTCATTCTCTTATAACTTGTTCTCACTGGAATTATGTTAATTATTGTTTTCTGTAGAATGGCATCGTGGGACCCTAGGAGCTATGTTGCAGAGGCGCTTTCACGTCACATTACTGCAGCGGCGAGGCAAGAAAAAATCGGAGACGCCCCGTCCTATTATGATGCTTTAACGAGTCACCTTCAAGCCCATGAGGAATCAGAATCAGTGAAGGCATCACTTGAGGCTCAAAGTCAACGTAATGCTGAGGTTGTCATTAATATTGGCGGTACACCCTTTACAGTGGTTTACAACGCCCGACGTGTTAGAGGAATTTCTGAAATAAAAAAGGTAATTGAAGATCTTGTCTCTGATATATCTAGGAAAAGTGATTTTATATATTCTGAGTTTCTTCACTTAAATGGAGAAGGTGGAGAATATATTGTTTCTTCAGAACTCTTTGATATATTGAATCATATTAAATCTATGTGTCTGTTAACCAATAATATGTATGATCCTACAACTAAGAAGGAAAAAACATTGGAAACTACTGATTTAAGTGGAAATCAAATGAATAATTTAAACCTTATGGAAGGTCGGAGAGTGTTTTGGCCTGTTAAAATGTTGCTTTCTATTGATGAATATATGAAGGCTTGGTTAGTAGACCAATTTGTGGTTTCTTTGCGTGAAAGAAAAGATTTTTTGGGAGCAATGGTAAGCTATGAAGGCTATACTCGCGCTTTTGGCGTTCCAGAAAAAAGTGAAATGTGGAAAGGTGGTATCTTGGGTTTGGATCTTGATGGAAAAAAAAGATATGTGGATTGTTTGGATTTGGACGATGATCGTCCCGCTTTTGCAACTCATTTTGTAGAGACTTGGTTTTCCGACCCCTTTGGGATGCAGTGCTCCACTGCATGCTGTAGGACGTTGGTAACGGCATACTGTCTCGCAGTAGCTCTTGCTAAATATGACAGTGATGAAGTGGCTTTACGCTTTATTCATGATTGGAGAAAGTCTCACACCCCTGATACTATGGAGTGTTTACTTGGTTATTTACTTGTTTTTGGAACTGGGAGAAGAATTACTGATTTGTCAGATAGCAGTTTTGGTGAAAATGATGCTCTTCGACTTCGAATTCATGATAGAAAAGCACAGGTAGCTCATGCTCATCAACAAATTGAACGAAAAATGAAATATGAAGAGTGCGCGTTAAAAGCTATAATAAGGAATAATTCTGCTGATGGTCTTTATCTTTTATCTCCAAACGAAGATAAGGCATTAGAAAACCAACTTGAGAATTCTTTTTCGTTTTTCCCAACGATGTGTACTGTTATGTCTTATGTTGCTCATGGTGGTATTGTATGTGTAACAGTTGTTAAAATGTTTGAGTTCTCTAGAGGGGATTCAAAATGTTGTATTGGTTTATCACAATGCTCTCCACTTTACAACTATATTTTTGAAACAGGTTCAGAGTTAACTTTGAATTTTCTTCTATCTAATGGAAATGAAATCTATGAAAGTATACTTTATGATTATCCATCATGGATTAATCAGAATGGAAACGAACCGATTTTTTTTGAACTTAATGGTAAACATTGTGTTACAACCGGTATTCTAAAGAAAAAATGTATACAATGTGTTTTTTCCACACTAAAATCGTTTCTTGTTGGTGATCAGTTATTCGTTATGGGACAGTTAGTGGGTGATGTCCCGCAGACAGGACTGATGAAATGTGGAAATTCATATACTGTACTTAACTGCCTCCCATCTGAACGTATGTATCCCTTCTTTTTTACAACTGTTCACAAACTTTACGGTACGGTGGGTCTTGTTGGACATGGATGCCACTTGTGTAGTTTACACCCACCAATCATTATGATTTGTTGTCCTTTTGAGTCTTCTGGTATTGTTTTGGACGAAAAGAACGTGGGTCCCAAGTGTTTTGTGACATTTTTATCAGGTGGTGGAGCGTCTGTATTCCATGAGAAAATGTATAAAGATTTGAGATGTGGTATTCCTATTTCTGCTACTACAGTTTCTTCATTACCTCCCGATACTGTGGCGTTTCGGATAAAGGGTAGAATTGTCCAACTACTTTCTGAACGCCTTGCTCAAGATATCTTATGCATGATTGCAGTCACTAGTATAACGGCCCACAGTGATAACCCCCTTGCTATCAATGTTAATTCAGAAAATGGTATTATAAGGGTAATTTAGCTTCCAAAGTAAATTCAATGATGATGATGATGGTGGTCGGAGAGATACTCCTATTAATTGTTTCTTTTTTTTTTTTCCTTCATTAAATGAGATTGGTTTCCCCCTCATCCACATTTATTTTATTTTATTTTTTTTTTTTTGCAAAGTAATCATGTTTCACTGGGTAGTTGTTTTCTTACAGTACTATTGTTGACGTTTTTTTCTTCCTTTCTTTTTTTTTTTTTTTTAAATCCTGTTTTTACATTTTTTTTTTTTTTTTTCGTTCTATATAAAGCATAAAATGGCCGTAGAATACCTCAATGCGGCAGATGCTCGGCGTCTGCTTGACTTCCTCAGTGAGGGGAAGCTTAAATTTTCTGCGATTGAAAAGGTATTTAAAGAAACCTTTTCAAGGGATTGTTTTTTTAATATTTCTAGAGCAATTCAGCAGATGGTCCAGGGAATGATTGTGTCACCGGAAGGTATCGGATTGGTGTCCTCTCTTTTTATCTTGGATATTATGTGCAAAATGGATTGTGAAGTTGCCAAATCCGTATTCTATGGTACGCTTCTGGAGTTAGAACGAGCCATGAGACAAGATGTTTGTATTGCAGAGCAAATAAAGTACGCATCGAAAGAGACAAAGGAAGGGAAAAAGGTATTTGAGGCTAATAATGCAGACAAGTACCGTCTTCATTGTGCGGCAAAAGAGTTTGCTTTCCGACTACTGGCTAACAAAGTAGCCCCAGATGAGACATCGCTTACTGTGCTTAATGATAAACAAGAACATATTGATGCGGCTTTGAATGCGTGGGAAACTAACAGTGTGCAGCTGAAGGAATCTATTTCTAATATTGCTCACTGCTGGACATTGGATACTGAAAAAAATACATGTGAAACATTGTCAAAAAACTCAGCTCTTGTTGATTCTGGCGGTCGTACAGCTTTGGTACTACAGGTTACACGCCCACAGCTCCCTTTTTTACCATTGGCACCTGGTGAGCTTCAATTTTTATTGCCAGCACCTCCTTCAAATGATTTGCTTCTTATAAATACTGATCCAGCTACTGAAGAATGGAAACTAGCAAAAAAAATGATTGTTTCGGGCTGTGAAATATCACTTAATAAAGAAGAGCAACAAAAACTTATTCAAACACTTTCTTCTGGTGATGTGTTTAATCGAGTTGGAATAAATGTTGAATTGTTAAGTCGTATGGCGATACATAACCCAGATGTGAGTGCTGCACTAATATTGAAACTTCCTCCTCAGGAGGGTAATCAATGTGTTCAGCATATACTTAAGAGTTCTATTCCACCAGAGCATGCTGAAACTGTTCTTCTTCACGCATCAAAAATACTACAACAGAACAATCTTCGCACCTATATCACTGGTAAACTCAATACTTTGAAGGAAAAAACAAGTCTCTCCTCTAGTGATAAAGATGCAGTGAAAAGTTTTATCATGACCCTTCACCAATTGGTTACCAAGACTTCGAAAGAAAATAAAGAAATGTACATCGCGGAGGCACTGAAAAATGATATTACTCAATTGTGTGAAAAGTGTGACCTTCCAGAGGTAACAGCACGGTGGGAGGAATTGAAGTAAAACTTTTTCATTCACAGGTAATGAGGTAAAAAGGGTTTTTACCATCCTTGCTGAAACTGGAGGGTGCTCTTTTTTTTCTTTCTTTATCTATCTATCTATATATCTTTCTCTCTATATATCTTTCTACATATTTTTCTGTACCTTCCTCTTCTTTACTTTTTATTTCTTTTTTTGAGTATTTCGTTCTTTTCTCTCTTGTTTTGGAATGTTGTCATCCACAAAGTCCTCGCTGGTGTTGTTTTCTCTCCTTTTTTTTTATTCATAGTTTTAACAAGGATTTAGTACAAAAAAAAAAAAAAAAAAAAAACAGATTGACGTAATAAGGGGTGAGTTTTTTTTTTTTTTTTTCCGTTTTCTTTGTGGTATGCAAGATGAATCAGGATATATCGGTTTTGCGTTTATTACGCCTACAAGTATGCTTCCATGTGGAGTAAAGAAACAACATCAGCTGCTTTCGAGAAGCGTGGAAAGTTTGTCTTCAAGTTCCTCGTCAAGTAGCAGAGTCGCTGTTGAGTCAATTCCTCTTATACGAGAACACGGAAGAAAGGTATGTATCAGGTTTTTTGATACAATTCGAAAAGCGACAAGAACTCAGTTTTTTAGTGTCCTTTCCGGAAGCACCATGTCCTGCATTTATGAGATAATTCACGCTTGGCTACCTGAGGTGGGTGGATTGGTGTGCTACACTGTGCAGAGTGATGACCATGGAAGACTATTCCCTCTAGTTAAGGAGGTTTTACATCCAGGGGTAGAAGTACCTGAACTCCTTTTCTGTCAAGAGGTTTTTTTACCTTTGCAAAAAGTAACAGACTTATGGGGTGTTGTCAACATTCTTGTAATGCAGCATCACAATGATCTTGTTCCCGGTTACATACCACTAATCATTCAGCGTACATCTATGTCATCTAAAGAGGCGATACAGGAACAAATTCGGTATCTATGCTGTGCATCACCTGCAGAAGCTGAATATATGAAATTACAGAGTTTCCTTAGCTGCAGTATCTATGAAGGGGTTATCGAGTTGATTTCCTTTTTTGATTCATTTGATAATGATTTGGAATCCCTCCCCCAGATTGCAATAGTTTATCCTGCCTTAGCGACAGGGGATTTGGTGCGCGTTGATATTGTAGATCGAGTTGGTCGAAGATATAGTGTGCAAGGTGTAATCAAACATAGTCGACGAAAGGACGGTGTTATTTGCTATGACGTAGAAGATGTTACACTTGGTCACGTTTTGGAAGGTTTAACTTGTGTTCAGGCGTTACCGTTGTAGTTTCCCCCCTCAAGAAAAAAAAAAAAAAGAAAAAAAAAACGCTTTCCATAACATAGACCTTTTTTTTTTCTTTTACTTTTCTTTACTTTTTGGTAATTCTCATCTTGTACCCCTCTCCCTACTTTTCTCTCTTTGATCTATATGTGGATTTACATGTGTTTTTTTTTTTTTTTTTCCTTCTAATGGTCAGTAAGAGGAAGGCATGGATCACAAATCGTGGACGCTTCCGGTAAAGCGTGTTCCTGTTGCCCAAAAGGTTGATCGCAGCGTAATATGGAATAACGTTTACCTGTGCTATGAACAGAAGCTCTTTGGTCAAGTGACTTGTGCTAAGTACAATAATGCCGGGACGGTTCTCGGATGCACTTCGACAAATCAACTTACTTTTTTAAGGGTACCACAGTCTGAAGGTGCCATAACAAATGAGCAACGTGAGAAAAAATGTTTTTCGCTTCGCTTCAGAGATGATGATAAAATGAGTCTCCTTTCTCTTGATCAGCGCGTTGTTGTGAGATCAACTGAAACAGCATTTGAACGACAATTTTTAGGACATATTAGAGAAGTCAGAGATGCTATTTTTCTTGGTCGGCATAATTTTGTCTCTGGGAGTGATGACACAACTATAAGACTATGGGATCTTACAAATGAAAATGAACTTACTATGAGTAAAAATCACACTGACTATGTTCGTTGCCTTGAGAATTATTCATCAGGGTGCTTCTTCAGTGGTTCTTATGATCATACAATAAATTTATGGGATACTCGCGCTGGTTTTGGACATCCTATTCAAACAAGTGACCGAAGTATCGAAAATCCTGTAGAGTCTTTGCTCTATACAGAAAATGATATTTTGGTGTGTGCTGCCGGAGATCAAGTAACCTTGTTCGATATGCGAAAGGGTCTCTCAACAGTCTTATCACAAGAATCACATCATACAAAAGCGGTGGTGACGCTTGCTTTTTCGAAGAAGAATAATGTCCTCCTTACTGGCTCGCTTGATCAACGGGTTAAAATGTTTTCGTTAGATAAGGGTTCTATGCTGCCTGTGGCTAGCAAGAAATTTGCTGCACCTGTGACGGCAGTTACTGTTCATCCTGATTCGTCTGAATTTGCTGTTGGTACAGCTGAAGGGGAGCTCCGTGTAATGAGGCTTGAAGAGGTTTCTCATGAGGAAGAAAAAGAGGAGAATGAGTTTCATAAAGAGGAGAATAAGTTTCAGATCAAACAGGATGTTTTTTTGGCTGAGAAAATGAGAGATGTAAAACAACAGCTCATCTCGTATCAATATAATCGAGCGCTGAAAACAGCTTTATATTCGCGTAATTCTGATGTTGTTGTTTCTACTCTGGAGGAGCTTATCCGACGCGGAACATTACATGTTGCTTTGAGTGGTCAAAATGACCGTACTATTGTTCGCATACTTCGATTTGCAGTAGACTTCATTGACTGTCCACAGTTCTATGAATCGATGATGGTCGTGTTAGATACAATTTTTGAGATTTACGGAACTTCTGTGGGAAAGAGCACATTCCTTCACAGGGAGATGATAATTGCCCACCGGCGTTTGGGAGCCGTTCTCGCAACTCTCCAGAGAATGGAAGACACCTTAAGTATAATGGAGCTAATTGTTAACAGCGTTTAAAAATGTTTGTTTTCCTTTTCTATTAAGGAAATCATTGGTAGAGAATTTTGAGAAGGCTTAAAAGAAAATCAAATTTTTTTTTATTATTTATTTCTGGCTTTCCATCTCTGTATTTGTCCTTTTTTTTGTTTTTGCATACTATACATTTCCTTTTTTTTAACCTCTTCTGTTTTCCCTCCCTCTTTTTCTCACAGAGAAAGAAAAAAAAAAAAGGAAAAAAAAGTATGTTTCGTCGTCTGGCTGTCTCATCGCTGCAGCGCAGCGTTCCAAATCGAGGCTTCTGTAATACATTGAAGCTTCTTAACCTTGATTACCAAGCCTACAAGACTGCTACTGTACGTGAAGTGGCACCTGAGTGGGCGGGAAAGGCTGTAATGAATGGTAAAATAATGGATATCAGTATCAATGACTATAAGGGCAAATATATTGTTCTTCTCTTTTATCCTCTGGATTTCACATTTGTCTGTCCGACTGAAATCACAGCCTTTTCAGACGCCTCTGCAGAGTTTGAAAAGATCAATACTCAAGTGGTGGCAGTATCGTGCGACAGCCATTTCTCACACTTGGCGTGGATTAACTCCCCTCGGAAAAAGGGAGGTCTTGGTGAGATGAATATCCCTGTGCTTTCAGACTTTACGAAGGAAATTGCTCGTGACTATGGTGTTTTGATTGAGGAACAGGGTGTTGCTCTTCGTGGTCTTTTTATTATTGACGATAAAGGAATTCTTCGTCATATCACCATAAATGACCTACCTGTCGGTCGCAGTGTTGAAGAAGTGCTTCGTGTTGTGCAAGCATTCCAATATGCTGACAAAAACGGAGATGTGATTCCTTGTAATTGGAGACCAGGAAAGCCAACAATGAAGCCTGAGAAAGCGAGTGAGTACTTTGAGAAGAACATGTAACAGGTTGTTATTAGGGTCTCCGAGATAAAATATTTTTCTTTATATTTCGTTGTTCTTTTTCCTTTTTTTTTTCTTTCTTTTTTATTATATTGCTGATTACGTGCTATTGAGTGCGCAAGACTTGAGTGCATATTTTTATCATCAGTTCGAAAGGTTTTATGCTAAACGAGGTTTTTTTTTTTTTTTTTTCTGTGTACGCATGTTTTCAGGTGGTGTAAATTTTGAGATGCTCTTTTATTATTATTATTATTATTATTATTATTATTTTGTTTTTCTTCGTGTTTAGATTTGTGATTTTGCATACCACGGATAACGTATTTTTGGATTTTATTGTCTTACTGTTCTTTTTGTCGTTCTTGTTACTTTTAGTGTGAAAAAGAAAGGAAAACATGTCCAAGGTAAGCGTTCCACCAAAGGGTTCTAATAATCGTGGCGGGATACCAGTTGGAGAGTCACGCAATCCCAAGGTATTCTTCGATATTTCCATTGATAACAAACCATCCGGGAGAATAGTTATGGAGCTATACGCAGATACGGTACCTAAAACGGCTGAGAACTTTCGGGCTCTTTGTACTGGTGAGAAGGGTCGCGGCAAAAGCGGTAAGCCTCTACACTACAAGGGTTGTGTCTTTCACCGTGTTATTCCAGGTTTCATGCTTCAAGGTGGTGATATCACACGAGGAAATGGCACCGGTGGAGAGTCTATTTATGGCACCAAATTTCGTGATGAAAGTTTTGCTGGAAAGGCTGGGAAACACACAGGGATTGGTTGTCTCTCTATGGCAAACGCCGGCCCCAACACGAATGGCTCACAATTCTTCATTTGTACAGCAAAAACCCCGTGGCTGGACGGCAAACATGTTGTCTTTGGAAGGGTTACAGAAGGTCTTGATGTCGTAAAGAAGGTTGAACGGCTGGGATCAGAATCTGGAAAGACACGTGCCCGTATTATTATAGCAGATTGTGGTGAAGTTAAGGAATCAAATCCCAAAGAAAAAACGGAGAAAGAAAAACAGAAGATTGTTCCTACAGAAACCACATCATCTGCAAATCATACCATGGCAAAGAAGCGTTCCCGTGACACGGATAAAGATTCTGATGAAGTAAAGAAGCGTATTGAAGAAAAAAAAGCAAAAATTGCTCGCCTTCGTGAGGAACTGGAGAAGTAGCTTTAATATCATTTGGTTTTAAGTCGTGTAAGTGGACACAGCTAAAAAATTTTTATTTATTTATTATTTAAATCCTTTCTTTTTTTATTTTTGGCTGACTGACAGCACTTTCAGCCTGATGTTTATTATTATTGGTATTATTATTATTATTATTATTATTATTATTATTATTATTATTATTATTATTATTATTATTATTATTNTTTTTTTTTTTTTTTTTTTTTTTGTTCTCTTTTTTTCAGCCACCCCAATGGCAAGTGGAAGCGGTATTCTCCGTCTCACTCCTCTGCGTAGTGGTCCACTGCAGTACTCCGTGTGTAAGAGATTCCATACATTCAATCGAAGCAACCCTTCGGGACTGCGACATGCAGCCTCGTACGAAGGCTCTTTACAGCAAGAGAGTGGTGGGATGACATGTTCAACAGACGATTTTAATGATCAAACAGATCCAGGTCGTAGGGAGAGGGAATCGATGCTGACATTATTGAAAGAACAGGGAGAGCGCCGAATAGCCCGTCGAGAAGCCTTTCTCCAATGGCAAGCAGGGCAACGTGAAAAAGGGGCGGCACACCGTTTGCTGCGTCAAGCAAAGACACAAGAGAAGTTTAAAAGACATCACTACCACACCCAAAATGGGAGGTTGATATCTGTTTCCTTTACCAATGAGGATGGAACAAGTAGCAACTCGGATGGTAATATGAATTTTCACTTTGTTGAACCACGCCGTACAGAGTGCCGTTCTACGGATTTTTTGGTGCCTTCCAGCAGACGTTGTGAAACTAGTACACTTAACTTGACACTTCAAAAACGATGAAACTTTCTTAGAATCACTCTGATAAAAAGAAAAAGAAAAATCCGTATACTATAAATTGATTACACAATATGAGAGAGGATCATTTTATAAGAAAGTCCCCCTATATGATGGACTGTTTTCTTATTTGTTTACTTTATTTTTTTCTGTATTTGCTTCTCTTTTTATTTATGATTACGTTTTTTTTTTTTTTTTTTTCTTTTTTTCTCCCTCCCCCCCCCCTTTAATACATTGGTGTCTTTTGAAAGTCTATATGAAGGTGTTTACCAATTTTTTAACGAGAGTAAAATCTGTTGCTCCCCGTGGAGTAGACTGGACCAATCGATTGGGACCGGTAGCAGTTTTCGGCTATGAAGCAGGCTTTCCACGAAGTTCGTTGCTTTTAGATTATTTTTATCAATCACCACGTGACTGTGATTACTATGCTGAACTCACTTTTCATGATAAAGGACCTATTGAGTGTCCCCCTGAAACAGTGATGTTTATGCCTGTATTGAAATGTGGGAATATGCTTGATAAACCAGATGACATTTTAAATACAACTAATGACGATTGGTATATGGGAACGCTCGAAACAACAACAGAGTTATTGGAGAAAGGATACATTCCAGTCTCTGTAGGAGGAGATGGTTCTGCTACATTATCAATGGTTGAGGCTTATAAACGACTCTTTCCATCTGATGATGTTGTGGTAATTCATTTTTCATCTCGTCCACACGTTGAGAATCCTCATGACCCTTTAAGAGTTCTTATGGACAAGGGACTTTTAAAGGGTGTAGTTAGTGTAGGAAATCGATTGGTTTCCTCTGACGATCGTAAAATACGAAAACACCATAAAATGTTTTACATGGATATGCATGCAATTTATTCAAAAGGTCTATTTTGTATTCGCGATATTAGAAATGATTACCCCGTTTTTATAAGCATTGATGCCAGTGTGATGGATCCAGCATTTGCCCCTGCCGTAGTATCTCCAGTTGCAGGGGGACTATCCACAAGAGAACTACTGCATATTATAAATGGTATTCGTGGACCTAAAGTGGTTGGTTTGGATGTACATGGATACTCTCCAGATCTTGATGTATATCGAAAGGATGGAGTTGGTCTTACGCAAATTGCATTATCGAAGGTATTGAAAGAGGCTATTCTCAAAGTGTATAGCATCTCAACACAGACAGAGAAGGAAGGTATGGAAAGGGTTCAAATCTTGCAACGTCAGGGAGCCATATCGGAGAACCCCTATCCGGATCACTAACATCATTACTATTTTTTGTTTTATTTTCTTAGACATCTTGTGAAGGTGATTCCAATTTTCTTGTTGGAAGTATGAATATCGAATTTTGTTTTTCTTTTGGCCTTTTTTTTTTTTTTCTTTTCTTCTTATCTTTTACTTGGTTGTTAAGTCTTGCTCCTTCTGTGTTATTTTTTCTTTCTTGTTTTTTTTTTTTTTTTCGTTTTACAGAAGAAAATAAAAAGTTTTTCACATCGAAAGTAAAAAAGAAAGAAAGAAAGAAAAAAGAAATGTCCAATTCAAATGTCCTCACTCTTCGTGAGGAGTCTTCCGATCTCAATACGCAGTTGGAGCAGCGGCGTAGCCAGGTACGGAATTTGGAACTGCAAGTGCTGCGGAAGGAAGCCGAACTTCGTCGTATAAAGGAAGAACAGCTACTTCTAAAAGAACTTCACTCAGTGAATGAGCTAACACTTCGAAAAAGACAAGAACAAGAAAATATGGAGTCGAACCAACGACTTAAAATTTCACAAGAATCTTTGGAAGAGGTAATTGCTCTTGAAAATGAAATAAAAAACGAAAACAAACGTACTGCAGAACTACAAGAAATGGCAAACACAACATCACGTCAAATGGAAGAAGTGGAAAAAGGTATTGAAGACATAAGTAATCGTTTGGCATTGGTAAAACAAGCAACGGGATGGGATAAACCTGGAATCAACAGTAATGACGGATCGCTCCTCACCAATGAATGGATGATGCGAAAGAAAAACTTAACTGCATTACATGAAGAACAACAGACTGTTAAGGGGTTAACGACATTACTAGATGAGCGAATTGAAACTCTTACAAAGGAACTCGAAATGCAAGGGAAAAAAGCAGAAGAACTTGATGCTGCTCAAGAAACTCTCCGCCAAAAAAATGCTCATTATGAAAACCTTTTGGATCAATTAAAGTCTATGGAGCGCCTTACAAAGAAGAAGGAACGTCTCCTGGATGCTTCCCATAACAGAGAAAACGATGACTACAAGACACTCAAACTTTTGGAAGGAGATAAAAAGGTTTTGTATGGTACTCTTTCCAAGTTTCGTCAAACCAATGTGGCTAATACCAGATCTATTATTTCTCTTGAAGTGCGTCTCAGAGAGTTGGAGACCAAACTGGAAGCTGTAAATCTTTTCTTGCAACAGGTATTTGCCGATGTGGAAGAAGAAGCACCCATGGAAAATGTCCCTGAAAATGCTGTGGAGGTTCCTTTGAAGCAATTTGAGGAGCTTTGCCATGAACTTGAACTCTCTCGAGAAACATTGATCCAGCGTGACGATCAACTCAGCGCCCACGACGCAAAGGTTGAGCAACTGGAGCAAAAAACAACAATTCTTCGGAACGCTATTGCATCTCGTGCCACATCTGCTCAGCTGCAAGTGAAGAGTAAGGAGAAAGAATTTGAAACTTTGATGTCTCACGTCGATTACATGAAAGCTGAGTTTGATGAAGAATACGCGAAGCTATCAAAGGAGAACAATTTGTTGCGCTCCAAGCTCAATCAAATTTAGTAAGAATAAGATTTTCTTTTTTTTTTTTTGTTTTCTTTTTGTTCTTTTTTTTCCTTTTCTTTCTCGTTTACAAAAAAAAAAAAAAAAAAATAGCAAAGAAAACGAGATTAGCAGCGGTGTATTAATATAGATGAACGGCGTATGAATATAGATGAACAACTGTGCTTCCCCTTCATCCTATTATTGTTTGGTGTTTTTTTTTTTTATTGTTTGTGTTGTACCTTTTTTTTTGCCTTAGTCGCGAGCTCTTTGGAGAGAAATGTTTTTTTTTTTTCTTTTTGATGTATTGCAAATGATATGTACATATATATATATATCTATTTTTCATTTGTCTTCTTTCTGGAGTGCTTAGGTGTTTAAGATGATCGCCATCTGTACAGAAGTTAAGGCACGCTATCATATAGCTGTCTCTACTCGATTTGTGGAGCGTGTTAGTGGAACAGTGGAAAATGTTACTGCAGAGAGTGTATATCGTCGTGCCCTCAACGAAAACCTTAAGGATATTACTGATGTGGGAACAATTCCATATGGTTTGGCTTCACAAGTGAGCGCTGTTCTCTCAGCTCCACTTGTACTTCAAGTCAACAGCTCTAGGGACGCTACACAGCCTCTTAGACCTTGCGCCGATACAACCGAGGAAGAGATGACATTCGGTGCTGCATTGCAAAAAAATACCAATACACGTCTTTTGCGTCTTGTGCTTAGCGATGGACATGTGGAAATACCAGCAATTGAGCTTTCTACTCTTCACATATTTCGAGGCATACCTGTACCAGGAGAGAAACTTCTTATTAAAGAAGGAGCAGAGGTAAAAAATGGTGCTATTATTATGACAGATGACTGTATTGAGCCTCTAGGAGGGGAAGTACAGCAGTTGAAAAGAGAATTCCTAGCCCTAAGAAATAGATCTGATATTCCTTACCAGACCAGTACGGGTTTGGAAGCTGCGCCTCGTTTTCAGCCTCTCCATTTTGGTACTGCGGCTGCAGCCACTGTACCTAACAGGACACAAGTAAATGGAAATAGAGGAGCCTCTGTTTACAACAAAAACAACAACGGGAATCGAGGGAGAGGCAGAGGGCGTGGCTACCACGGTAGAAATGGCTCCGGTCAACGTCAGAATGGTCCCAATATCACTTCTCGTGGCGGACGTCAAGATCAATCACGAGGTCATAACCCGCTCTAAGTCATGCATTAAATACATTGCATACGTACTTCAACCTTCTATTTTTTTGTGTTTTCACTTCAGGCGGTTGAAGTGGTTTTTTTTTTTTATTTTTGGTTTTTGTCTCCTATATAACATTAAAGGAGTTTGACGTAGTGACGTTTTTCCCCCTCATTTTTCCTTCGTTTTTTTTTTTTTTTTTTTAATATTATATATTTTCTTTCGTTTTAGCATTAGTTAACTTTTATGGTGTTATGGATTTCTTCTGCTGTAAATGAGGAGGAGACTCATATCTGGATCAATAATCTTACTATGCTTATGCTATCAGATGATCGTTTCACGTGGCTCTCTCTTCCTGGAGGTGCAGAGAGGGTGAAGTATTTTGTGAGGAGGGATAGTGGCAACCGTGATCCACTTGATAGTCCCTACGGTATTTTGCTGGAAAGCGAAACTTTACCACAGTTTGAGTGGCCAGCCGCTTCACCATTTGCCAAATGGATAATAGAAAACAGTTCAGTTTTTCAGAACAAAAAGGTTTTGGAACTAGGTAGTGGAACAGGAGTTGTTGGCTTGACAGCTGCGTTATATGCAGCAAAAGTTATACTCACTGACTCTTCTCTAGTGTCTTTGGCTATGCTAAAACTGACAGTTGAACAGAATTCTTATGAAAATTGTAGAGTGGGTCTGCTCCGCTGGGGATCTGATGATGCTGTGGACGAACTAAAGGAGGCATTGAGTATAGAATCTTTTGATATTATTATCGGCAGTGATGTTTTTTATTTTAATTCTACACTAAGAGCTGGTCTCAAAACGGCGAAGAGAGCGCTACAGTCCTCAGTAAGTTCATCTGGAGGATTTTTCTTATGTGCTAGTGTGGCTCGCTCAGAGAGGATGGAAGTGGACTTGGACGAGGTTCCGGCCACGCTGGGGTTTGAATCTAACATAGTGGTGGAGTCAGGTGTCTTTAAGTTATACAAGTGGACAGTGCAGTCATAGTCTTTTACTTTTATTCCTTCCCTTTCTATCTAGAAAGATTGAACTCTATTTATTCTTTAAGTTTGAACTGTCAGGAATATTATTATTATTATTATTATTATTTCCCGTGCTTTTATTCTTTATTTTGTACACTGATACCAATTAAATACCAAAGTTTTAAGATACGAAAACAACAACAAAAAAAGAACATTCATGTCTGAAGAAGGAAAATCTGCTAAATCTGCCAAAGGAATGCGGGCTGTCATTCTGGTTGGGGGATATGGAACTCGTCTTCGTCCGCTTACCCTGACAATGCCAAAACCCCTTGTACCATTTTGTAACAAACCAATGATTGTGCACCAGGTAGAGGCTTTACGTGATGCTGGAGTAACCGAAGTTATTTTGGCAGTTGCCTACCGTTCTGATAAAATGAAAGAGGTCATGGATTACTGGTCCAAAGAGCTTGGAGTATCTTTCGTCTTTTCTGTTGAAGACGAGCCCCTCGGTACTGCTGGACCTTTGGCTCTTGCTCGCGATATCCTTCTTCAGGATGATCAACCGTTTTTTGTTTTGAATGCAGATGTAACTTGCAGATTTCCGCTTCGTGAACTTCTCTCATTTCATTTGAAGAACGGAAGGGAAGGTACAATTGCAGTTACCAAGGTCTCAGAGTGGCAAAAATACGGCGTCGTTGTTTTTGATGAATCAACTGGTATTATTGATCAGTTTGTGGAAAAACCTAAGAATTTTGTGGGTGATAAAATAAATGCTGGTATCTACATATTAAATAAGAGTGTCCTTAATCGAATCAAACTTGAGAAGACCTCTATTGAAACACAAGTATTTCCCCAAATGGCCAGCGCCAAACAACTTTCCGCATTTAACCTCGAAGGTTTCTGGATGGACATTGGTATTCCAAGGGACTATATTGACGGCATCGGTAAATATCTTCAATCACTTAATGGTTCCCCAAAAGAATCTGAAGAACTCTTTCTTGTTGGTAACACAAAACGTACAAATAACTTTACTGTGGAGGGTTCTGTTATGATCCATCCTACGGCAAAAATTGGTGAAGGCTGTTGTATTGGTCCATTTGTCACAATTGGTCCAGGCTGTGTTATTGGACCAGCCTGTCGTATTAAACGTTCTGCCATCTTTGAAAACAGCACTATAGGCGGAGCCTCTTTGATTGACTCAAGTATAATTGGTTGGAGCGGAAGGGTGGGTCCCTGGTGCCGTATCGTAAATAATACTGTTCTGGGGGAGGACGTGGAGGTAAAAGAAGAGTTGTTCCTAAATGGAATAAAGGTATTACCAAATAAAACAATTTCACAGAGCTACATGGAGCCAGAGGTGGTCATGTGATCTAATATTCATATTAGGTCAAGAACCCCAAGCTCAGTGAACCTAGAAAAACGAAATAGTACAAGGGTAGCAAGACAACTTGGTTTTTTTCATCTCATCTGCTTTAACTTTTCTTTCTCTACATTTTTTTTTTTTTTCGTTTGTTTCACTTTTTTCACTTTTTTTTCTTATCCGTATTTCTTTCATACATTCAATTTTTCTGAAATCATATTTTTTCTTCACCTTCTTCCGAAACTATTTATTCTATTCTGACTGCTAGGGACTCTGCTTTTCGTTGTTCAAGAATGTTCTTAGGCGCATTACGACTGACATAAGTATAAGGAGGGACCTCTTTCATACAACAGTGACGGGTCGACGAGTGACCGGAGTCTGGAAGTGAGTGTGGATAGATTATCTGGTCGCTTCTGCTCACTCGTCTTGGCACACAACCTGCCTCCGCAGACCAACGTGACAATCCGAGACTCTACGATCGTGACGACGGGACCCGTGAGCTACGCACCGGTCAGCGGCCTGACGGATGCCGTTGCGGCCCCGCTTGTGCTGTATGCGACTGCGCTTTCGCAGTCACAGCTGCGTGTGGAGAACAGCGTTCTGCGGACGTCCGCCGCCGGTGGGATGGCGCTCTACGTGGGTGGCAACGTGTACCTA